CAGCACGGCACCATTCTTGGCGCTCACCTGTGTGCTCCACTGGGCCAAGCCGTTGGTCACTCCAAGCGGTCAGTTCGAGAGCTCTGGGGAGCGAAGCACCAGAGTCCGTCAAGGATCTGTCGTCCATGTACGCGAAGGGCTTAACACCTGGCAGCGTCCTCATGAGATTAGTCCACGGAGACAGGACATAAGCTAAGAAGTGAATGGAGCAGGGCTCCGGCCGGCAGACCCGAAGAAGCTTCCGCGAGTCTGGGCTGTGGCACAGCGTGGGCCATGCAGGACCGAGGACCGAGGGGCCGACCAAACTATAGGTAATTAAAATACCCTAAAATTGGTTTTAAAACAACCGCGCCGGCACAGACAGCAATGCAGTGGTCAATGCTATCGAATTCCTTACGCAAGTCCAACTCAGCGCCTTTAGTACACAGCCACGCACTGGCAGCGTCAACGGCACCGCAGCCCGAAACACCGCAGTACTGACCTTCGGGCACCGCAGGGACGCCACGCAGCAAGGCCCGATTCCAAGCCCGAACGATCGAGCTTGCAACGGCTATAGGCCTGGTGGCGGACTCGCATCTCTTCGGAATCCCAACCACTCGCCAAGAGAAGAAGCGGTTCCGACACTTCTGCGCAAAACTTTAAGTGGGGAGCTCTCAGTATAAGGCAGTGAAGATCCAGGTCATGCAAAAGCCCATTGCACGAGTGCACGAGGACTTTCAGCTCCCTGGCGGACCAGCCGTCGAAGCCAGCGTTGCCCGAGCAGATGTCGATTGACTGCGGAAACTGCTCCGCCGAGTGCGGCTGAAACTCCGGCTGGCCAACCGCAGTGCTCAGACCGGCAACACTAGCAACCTCGTCCCGAGCCTCTTGGGGTGCAGGGTGGGCCTTGGACCAAAGCTTCTCCTATTGCTCAGTCATCGTGGTAATGCTGAGGTTAGGGTCAGCAGCTTCGCACAATTTGACGGCGTAGAGCTTTCGTTTTGGAGCCGCTGAGCCTCGGCCTTCACCGCAGCACTAGCAACAAAAATGGCCTCAGCGTGACTCGCCGGAAGGTTGACATGCCCGAGTAAAACAGTCCAGTGCCGAACCTGAGACACGCTCAAGTGGGCACTACCCAGACCATCCGATATTGAAAAATGTCAATCACTATTGATTTTCTGAAGCGCTATTGAATTTTACTTCGGAATCAATAGAAACTGAATTTTTTCAAGCGTTTCACTGACACATAAAATCAATAGAAATTGGGGGGTAGATTTCAATAGAAATGTGTCGTCAAAATCAATAGAAATTCTTTAGAAAATCAATAGAAAATCATAGGTTTTGAAGAGTTTGTCAATCCATATTCAAGGCTTTCCCACCCCATTTGCAAGGCTTTCCAACCCACGTCTCGGGGCTCAGATTTCAGGGTTTCAGGGTTTTTAAACAGCAAGCCTTTGCAGTTCGTATTTGTTGTTTCCATTTCTTTCCACAGCACACTGGTCCAGCCAAAGCTACAGTAAGGCCATCGATGACCTCCGGTCCATCGCGGGCTGTCCAAACCTTTTAAATTTTCTTACAACTATACAATCAGACTGGCATTTCGCAAAATGGACGGTGGACGGGTTAGGGTTTCAGGTCGTGTAAACTCATGACATATCTTGAATATTATTTTAGGTGTTAAGGTTTAGATTTTGAGCCCATTTCCCCCAACATCCCGACACGCGCCACAAACCTCCAGGCGTTCAAGTTCACCAACCCCCTACCAATAGTTTCGTCAAGCTTTGAAGTTCTCGAAATTCAGTAACGGGTAGGGCCTGAAAGTAACGGTTGTGAGGTTTCAACATTACTTGGAGAATAATTGTTTCCCCCCCCAGCCCGCGCCACCACACCACCACACACACCCACACACCCACACCCGCCCCACCCCCCACCCCCACCCGCACACCTGCACCCACACCCCACCCACACACCCACACCCACACCCACACCCTCACCCACACCCACACACCCACACCCACACGCACACCCACACCCACACCCACACACCTCCTCCCTCCACTCCCCTCCCCTCCCCTCCCCTTCCCTCCCCTCCCCTCCCCTCCCCTCCCCCCGGCCTCCTCTTCCATAAATCTTCATCCTTCTTTTTTCTTCAATCCGCATAAATCTTCATAAACCCTCCTTTCTTCATTCATAAAAATCTTTATAAATCTTCATAAATTTTCTTTTGCCGGCGGGGCGGGGGGGGCGGGGCGGGGCAGGGTGTGGGGGGGCGGGGCGGGGCGGGCACCCCACCCCCACCCCACCCCACCCCACCCGAGCAAAAGACCGTAAACACCACGTGAAGTGAGCTGCCATCGAACAAAAAAACTATAAATACCGCATTAAACAAAGGGCTAGGAATAAAAATGTGCTGGAAAAATCTGGCGGAAGTGAGCGGCGACAAAACTAAACGCTTGTAAATACTGCAACAAACAAACGGTTAGGGATTTCACACATCTGCTGGCAAAATTTGGCGGCAGTGAGCCGCAACAAAAAGCTTGTAAATACTGCAAAAACAAGGGCGGCGACGCGCCGACAAGAGGGCTCGGAGCCTTTAGGCCTTTCGGCCGGCCAGTCACAAGCAGCAAGACCACTCCTCGCACACCGCCTCGGCTCTTTGGTGCCAGTTCTCGAGAGAAACGAAAGGGTCTTCACAGAGAGCAGAGGCGGCTTGAGCAACACGCTGCAGCTGTTGAGCTTGTGCGGCCGAGGGTTTCTTGCGCCAGACGTAGGAAGCACACCTGCGGAGACGGAGCACAGGCGCCACGCCGGACCGAGACGCCCCGATGCCTTGAGCACCATGCAAGACGACCTGGTAACACAGAGCTTTGTGGTGAGGCCCCAGCAAGCGGCCGGCAGGAAGTGACAGCAGTCTCAACAGGAACACCGCAGAAAGCGAGGGCTCGAGAGGGAACGGCCTGTCGGAATCTGGGACACTGTGCACTGTCGGAGACAGCGTGCCGCCCAAAGCCAAGGCCAGGTCGCCATAAGCATTTCTGATCATTTTAAGTAGTTGAAATAGCCGACAATCAAGCACGGCTTCCGCAACTCAAGCGTGGAGCGCAGCAGGCAGTCGGCAAATCCAGCCGAGACGCATGACCGTAGAAGGAGACGACGGCAAGGTCTTCGAAGACACATTGCAGAGGAGCAGACTTGTCTTCCCGCCACGGCAACAAAGCCGTGCCACTTTGCCGCACACTATTGGCGCGCTGGGCCGGAGGAGGGGCACTGAAGTGGGCGCGCCATCCCCCAACACACAAGCTGCACGCCCATTTCTCCCTCGAAGAAGCCACATGGGGCCCAGGCAAATGCCCCTCAGGGCGGGTTGGGCGGGCGCAGAAAAGTGCAACCATGCAGCACTTTCTGCCCTGAAATGGCTGCAGCGGATGGTGCATGCGCAAGCTGACGCTGACGCAGGCATACCCTGCCGCACCAGGGCATCGCCCAAACAGGGTTGCCGCGGTGGCGAGTCTCCTGCAAAGCGATGAACTCAGCGTCGACACGCGAAGCCTCTCGCAGGGTTTCCAGAAGCCGGTCCTTGGTCAAGGAGGTAACGTTCAGGGTGAGGCATGCCAGTAGCTGCCAGTATAGAGGCAGGTTTCCCGCCGCCGAGCAGAAGAAGGCCCGGAAAACTGGAGGCCTGGTGTGGCAGTCCTCGGCCTCCAGGTCAACAACGCTCTCGTTGTGGAAGCTCCTTGCGTGGCGGGACGGCACGGTAATCGCCCTCACTCCTGCTCGGCTCGGCGTCCGGTCAGCAAAGCTGGCCGTCCTTTCGCCATCGCGCAAAGTATATAGACGGGACGTGGTTTCTGCGCTTTTCCGGCCTTTCCGGATCCAGGTGAGGTAGAAGACGGAGAGGTCGGCGCACTTCCGGTGGATCCTGGTCTGCCTTTTCCGGTCCGGCCGGCTCCTTTGCTCTGTGTGCAGCTTGGGCTCCAGTGACCACGTTGCCCGCAGCGCCGGCAGGTAGTCCTCGCCTTAAGGTCCGCCACAATCTTCCTTTTTCTGGGTTTTGCTTTGCCCCCTGGCGAAAAATATTAAGGGAAGCGGTTCGCACAAAGGCTCATCATGATGATCCTGATAATTCGTGTGCCCCGCCCCAAGCCCGCGCACATTTTGACTCGTTGCGTCACCTCTCGACAGGCAGGTGCCAAAGTATTGAATCACTACACTGTATATCGTCAAGTCTTTAGTCTTGTCTGATGAAACTGTATATCGTCAAGTGTTTAATAGTGTTTATCTTGTCTGATGAAACCGCGAAGGCCAGCGTGAAGCGGAGTCGATGATGCCATGCCTGGGGCGGCAGAGTGCGGATGCAAAGCTATTCGTTTACTGAGAAGCCACAGATCGCAACAGGTTGCGTTCTGCAGCCTCTTTCTCATAATCACTCCGACAAACGAAGCACTTTGTTAGGTGTAGATGTGTGTGTGTGTGTGTATGTGTGACTGTGTGTTTGGGTGTGTGGGTGGGTGCGGGTGGGTGTGTGTGTGTGTGTGTGTGTGTATCTGTCTGAATGCTACGGATGGCAAACGGTTGCGACCTGTATTCTCTGAGACTAAACGTGAGTCAGAACACGCAACCAGGGGCCAAGCACTGCCAGCAAACCGCACCAACTGGCCAAGTGTGCCAGGTCGGCTTTTTGCCTGACGAAGCAGAAGCAATAAAGTCTCAGTCGGATGCTCAACCCACGCGACTTGACATCCAATCTGGAGGCAAAAACACGTGACCTCATTTTCTCCATGCGCGGCATGTGTAAATCCTCCGGCTGGGGCGGTCAAAACGAGGCCAGACTCAAACGACACGCGTTCACAGCATGCCGGCCGAGCAGAGCCGTCAGGAAAACAAGCGGAGGTAAAAGTGTGCCAACTGGAGCTTGAAGACAAGGGCTTCCATCCAAGATCATACCTGCATGGCTCCTCGAAGCTGCCTTTTGCTGTAACTAGTTTAAGAAGCTCTGACACGACTAAGTCGAGACCCGCACTTCAGCCCGTGGCAGCCGTGGCCTCGGCCTCCTCGCTGCCGTCCAAAGCAGAAACCTCATCGGCACTGAGTGTCTCAGGCTCCTGAGGGTTCAGTTCCTCTTTGAAGAACTCTGCGATCATCTCCGCGAGGGACTGAGCATACAAGGGATGCTTTGACATGGTACAGCATCTGCAAGCCTCGAGATCAACGATATTGCTGATCCAGGACAGGTGTTTTTTGGTTCGAGTGAATCCAAAGTACTGTACGCCTTTCTTGAGGCAGCAGCTTGCCAACGTTCCGCCTCCTGGCGTCCCGTCGACCACCACGGAGGCGCGCGTCGCTGCCAGCAAAGCTGCCCAAAACTCGTCTGGCCTCAGCACATCGCAGCCGCACACAACACATGCAATTACAACTCAGGTCACAGGCCCGCACAGTGGACACTAACGACTAAGTTCCGAACTTACTTTCCTGCCAAAAGAGAGGAACCCCGCTCCTCGACCAGGAGCGGGGCTTCATGCCAGCCTTGCTGGCTCCTAGGATCTGCTCTTTGTCGCTTTCACAGATGCGCGGCAGCTGAACAAGCGGTGGCATGGGCACCCCGACAAAGGTCAGCTCGTAGGTTGATGAGTCACTTCCGTCGAGGACAAAGTCATCCTGCCGACAGTGTTCACAAAGATACTTCAAGTTACACTGTTACACTCAACAGTACGCAACGAGCAGGCTCGAGTTGACAGGGCTTCTCGAATATCTGACAGGACTTGGACAAATTGTGTTTCATCGGGCTCAGGCTTCCATAACGAGCAGGGTTTGGGGTTTTCGTCAATTCCTACAAGCTTTTGTTTCAGGATCCTGTCACGCTGTGCACATCTGCTTTTAATTTAGGGGTCTTGTTGGTTGTATTGATTCCTTGTGGAAAGACAGACGGCAACTAGTTGCGTTCTGTGCTTTTCCCTATGTTTCCGTGTTTTGGTGACAGTTGGCCGTTTGCTTTACCGGTCTTGGTTGTACTGATTCCTTGAGAAAATACAGATGGCCACTAGTTGCGTTCTGTGTTTTTCCGTATGTTTCCGTGTTTGGGGCTGTCGGCGGGGCTGCTGCGCTTGACCATATACCGCTATACACTGCGTAAGTGCAGCAATGGGCATGCACTCAGTCCTTCCTTTCGCATGTGTTGATGCGAACGCGAGCAACCTGACCAGATAGGTAGCCAGTTTCCTTGCTGGATGCTGCTCCGAAGACCTTCCGACCGGGTCTGCCGTTGTCCTTCTTGAAGATCACCGACATCTCGCAGCACGTCGAGCTGTTGCTGGTGATGGACAAATCCTCCTCCAGCCACCTGCGGTTGGCTACGGATCGTCCGTCGAAGCCCACCAGGAAGTCTGTCTGCTTGCAAGCAGCTGTCTTCATCCATTTCAGCATCACTTTGGCTTCGGCCTTGCCGTCCGTGATGCTTCCGGGGGTCGTCCATGGGCTCACCTGGCTTTCCTCGAACAAGTCGCATGAGAAGATGAACAAGCGATGCTCCTCGTTCAGCGTTCCTGAAAAGCTTCGGACGTTCTCCGCGGCGGCCTTGTTCCACACCGCGATGATCTCAGCCTCGGTGCGGGCCACGGCCAGGTTGACCAGCTTGCGACGCTGGGCTTGCGCCTGCTTCCACAACTGCTCTCTCTCCTGCTGGGCCCTTTCACCTGAGATTCTGCATGTAACTTTACGCATGGATGGAGGAGTCTCAAAATGCTAATCCAATATGCATGGTACGTATTAATACTGAAGAGGCACAGCTACCCTCCGCCTTCTCAGGGTTGCTCGACATGCGCACCAGCCTTCGCACACTCATGCCCGGCGCAGCGCTCTCGTTGGCTTGGACGACAGCCGCCGATTGCTCCAAATCCTTCAGGGCAGCTGACCACTCCTTGTGCAAGTTCAGGCCATTGAACAAAGACTCGCCATCGGCCAAGATCTCGAGCACTGCAGGCTTCCTCTGCAATCAATCCCAAGAAGTATCAGGTCGGATCGATCTTTCTAGGCTGCTAGGTCAATATATGACACGTTTTTCAATAAGCTGTTCTCTTGCCGGGTGGCTTGGCAATCTTGATCAAGTCAGGATCGTACTCACAACTGTAGAGGTCGCGGGCAAGCTGGTACACACGCTTCTGAGCCCCTGCGAGCTTCTGCCACTCAGCCTCAGGCTGGCAGGTCGCACCCGGCAAGGCCGCCGCACCGTCCTCACCGTCGGAGTTCTCCTTGTCGTCGACTGGCGGATGCTTCTTGAGGAAGTCTCGTGGGCTCGAAATCTGTTCCAAGGCTGTCAACAATCCCTTCGCAGCATCACCCATGCCTTGCGCGATGCCCACAAGCTGCGATAGCATGCTGTACTTGGCCAGTGTGGTCAAATACCATCCTGCATTCTCGCCCTTCGTTTCCATGTTCTTTGTGTTGTAGAACGAAGGGACTGCGGCCCCGCTAAGCAGCTGCATATAGGCCAGCTCCACAGCAAAAGTGATACCATCCTCCACGGCCTTGCGGATTTGAGAGGGTAGACATCACATTCCAAATCACAACACAACCATCTCAAACACATCAATTGACGTATCGAAGCCCCGCACCCCTCTCAAAATTTTCAGTGGACTTAGTACCTAAATTTCTCTATGTGAGATGTACATGCACTTCTGCAGTGCTTGTTCACTACGCCAAGATCAGTCTGTAGGAGCTATAGTCTAGCCTTAGCACTTCTGCAGCGCACTCTCTATTTCTAACGTCTACTCAACTTCACGTTGATTTTGCTCCGACTACCAACCTCAGCAAGCCTCCTGTCCCTGACATTGCGAACTTAAGTACTCGTCGAGCCACAGCTGATGGAAGAGTGGTTGCCGCAAGCTGAGACAACCGAGTCAGCTTGGTATACCCAGCAGAGAATACATCCACGCCAAACTGCTTCTCGATGCGCCTGATGACCTCCAAAGCTGCAGGATTGAAGCGCTTCATAGCCACCACTGCACTCAGGAGGCCCTTCGTGAACGAGCCCCCTTTGAAGGAGAGCTTCTTCTCCTTGCCCCATTTCTCTTTGTCATCCATCTTCATGCCAGCAGGCAGGTCGGCCAAGAGTTGGTTCACTTTGCCGGACCAGTGAACCCAAGTGTCGGTGAGCTCTGCCATTGACGCATAATCTTCCGAGGCAAACAGCGATCGAAAAATCAAGTCCTTCGCGTCCTTTGCGACGAAGCAAGTGAAGGTCACAGACCTCCCAGCCTGCCACAGCAATGCCAATCTCTTCATGTCGCGCGCCTCCAGGCACCTGCTCATGGCCACCTGACTGCGACCCAAGCAAGTCACGAAACCACATGTCTAACAACTGTTTACCTGCTCTCCAGGATACTCATTAAATTACAGTCGAGCTTCCCACCAGGCGGCCGCCATCGCGTGCCCGGACACAAGAAACACTGTCTTGGGGTAGGCCTCCGGAATGTGATCCTTGAAGACATAGGTGTGGAAGCTTCCCGGCCACACGATTCGATCTTCGCCACCATTCAGAGAGGTCGGCACCAAGCGTTGTTCGGCACGCACGATCTGCTTGAAGCTGGGGGCGTCAATCACCAGGCCGTGATTCTCCAAGGGATTCAGCCACGTTATGACGGACCCAGCCTCGTAGAGGCCGTTCTGCAACAGAGACGACTGTGCATGCGCACAGTCCCAGACTTCCTTGTACCTGATACGGGTTCTTATTACACGCGTGCAACGATGCTGCAATCTGCACTGTCCCAAGCGACGTGCTGAGTTGCGGACCCAGAATTGTCCTTGACATCCAAAGGCAGGTAGTCTGAAAGCCTTTTGCATGTTTTGTCTGCCAAGCCCAGCTGCTCAAGTGCAGGTCCCAAGGCACTCGAAACCTTAGTAGCCCAAAAGTGCATTGCACATTCAACCATAAAACCTATAGTCTACTTTAAATAATAATCAGCCGCGTGCGCTGGCACTTGTACCGAGTTGCATAAGGAATGACGGCACGCAAAACCTCGAAGCCGTCTCCCGTGTGCTCGTCATCCGGAAGGGTCGGCGGCTTCAGCACGACACTGGCTGGGGAAGAAGCCTGACTTGTTTTCGGCACCTTCAGTGGTGAGGTGGGCAAGAATCCATCCGCTGGCACCAGCGTGGTCTCCGCAGGTGGAGTGGCACGCTTCTTGGAAGCTGCTTCCACGGCCGGCGCACTGGCTTTCTTGGGAGTCGCACTGGCCTTCGCTGCTGTCATGTCAACGTCCCCCCCTGTCACTCCGTAACAGAGCCAAAATTCTCTGCTGGAAGCAGCTGGCATCCACGAGACCACACACATGCACACAAAAAGGACACTCTCAGCAATCGTGTGAGCTAAACTCGCCCTGCCTCGGCCGGGCTTGAAAAAGCTCGCAAAGGAACCGGACCTGGCATACAGATTTCCATCTGACGACGGCTGTGCACTGGCAGGCACTGTCACTCCGACTCCCAGCAATTGTTTGATCTCCTGTTGCTCTGCGTTGCACAATCTCCCGGCAACCACTCGCCCTTGCATCTCATCTCTTCAGAGAGGGATGCGATACCCCTCCGCAGCACACTAAGCGGCGCATCTTATGCGCACAATCGAAAAGCTGCCGATTATCACTCACATCTACACACCCCGGGTCTTCGCAACCAGCATCGACGACGCTCCACTTGCTCTGCCGCCTGGCATCGTTGAGGAAAGAGATTGCCAAGAGAGCACTGTCTAGTTATACTAAAAAAAAATAATTAATTAATGATGCCGTCCTAGCCACAGTGCGCAGAGCTTCTCTATGAGGTCACAGCTGACCCTGTGTTTTGCACGGAAGGCATCGGACAATCTCAGTTTGAGCTCATCCTTCAACGCCATTTCGTGGCACTCGGCTGGGCCCCGCCGTTCCCAAGTCTCCTTCTCTATGATGTCTTTGCCCAAGGCAACTGCTGCCAGGTACACCAACGGAAAGAGTGGCCTCGGCATGCTAAGTCGACTCCCAAGAACAGACGCCAGGGACACGAGCAAAAAGCTAATTTCCAAATGCATGAAGTGTTATTTTGTGCCTAGCCACAGGACGTCGTTGAACTTGGGTGCAAACTGCAGATGTGCGAAAGAGGACACCACGATCAGGTCGCTCGTTTGGAGGAAGCTCAGGATGTCAGCTTGCCCTGAAGGCCTCATTATCGTCGCTGAGTCGCAGCGAAATGCAGACCCACCCACAGTCAGATCCACAACTTTGGCGATTTGCTTCCTGGTGTAGTTGTAGCCTGCAGATCTGGGCGGCACCGGTTCAGCAACTAGCTGGGCCTTACGAAGGGGACCAGGTTCATAAGCACGGCTCTCTGGATGATCCCGCCGTTGGTTGCGTGCATCCAGCTTCTTCTGCTTCTTTTGGGCTGCACTGTTGTACACATCCTCGAGGCTCTGGTTGAACTGCGGGTTGCGCTGCAGCGTGTCGTGCTGAGGAAGGTCCTTCCTCTTTACACCCAAGATCGTCTTGCTGCGATCTGACACGGTGCCGGCATTGCGAACTAGAAGATCAGTGCCTGCAGCGGTTTGCCGAATGAGGCTTGCCTCCGTCCCTCCACGTTTGACACGAGGCTGCCCCTTGTCGGCCCTGGTCTTGTACAGCCGGAAGCGCGATCCAAACATGGAGCGCCAGAGGTGCACGAGCTCCAAGCTCATGTCAGTCGCCCGCAAAACGACGTCTCTGTCCCCGTCCTCGAAGAAGCGGCTGGCCAGGTCCTCCTCCGACGAAGGTCCGTCCATGGCTATTTCCAGCAAATCGTGCATGGTGACGCATAACGGCCCGAGATGAGCATTCCGCAGCCGTGTCAGCTGCGCCAGAGCCCTTTCCACTCCTGTCGAGGAGTCGCGAAAACCGAGGTAGTAGTTCAGAAACGACGGCAACATCTTGAAGTGGCCCCACGAGGTTGCTCGCCGGACAAAGCCTTCATCGAAAACTTTTCGCCATTCTTGCCTGTTGTCGATTTCTTCTCCACGATCCAGCTTTGCAGCGAGCTCTTCCTGCAAGCAGTGGGCCGCCGTCCACCATTCGCGCATGGTCTCGGCAGCATCTAAGCGCTTCAAGCCACTCCGAATCAGGCGCCGCAGCCTCAGGTCCGTGAGTTTCTTGAAATTGTCCCAGTCCTGGGGCTTCTTCTTGGCGAGGTGGAATGCCTTGATATCCCACACAGTGAAATCCAGAACGAAGCCGTTGAGCTCCCCGTCGAGGTCCTGAAGTGCAACATCTGCCACTGCATGCAGACTTTGGATGCATCGGTCAAAGGTGTGCTTCGCGGTGCCCGGCCAGAGATAGTGCATGCTCTCGCCATAGCGTATGCCCGGGCACTGCATAGCCTGCTGCACAATGAGTCTCGTCAGGGTGGTGGCATCGGAGTCTGCCGGGTCATCCAAGATATGGCAATCCACGAAGAGGGTCGTCAGCCTGCAGAAAGATGTGAGACACGCCCAGGCTTTATCCGACCATGTCGGGTACCACACAATATAATAATGGACTAAATTCTAGGATTACTAGAACCTCAGAAAATGCAGCGCTGCACAAGAAAACAAAAAAATTGCGGGTAACGGCTTGGGTCGCCTGGAGCTGAACTCGCTCTTCTGCCTGGCAGTTAATGCCGAATCGTGGTCTTCACGATCGAAGACCCTCAAGAAGCGGACCCATTCTTGGGCCCAGTCGCCGCATAAGCCGCAGTCTACCAAGAAGGCCGGCTGCAGCCGCCTCAAAGTCTCGGCACACTTTTGTCTGAAGGCAGGCTTGTGTCGGCGATCTGTGGATTGCATCGCCAGATAAAGTGCCACGGGCACGAGGGTCGCGGCAAACCGCCGAAGCGGCGAGGCTTCGGAGTCCCACCTCTGTGGTGCGAAGCTGAGGTGCCTGAGTGCCACCTCCAGCGGCTTCTTCCATTCAGCGCAGTCGGAAGCCTCGCAACTATCTCAAACCTGGGGCCTTGTCTTGAAGGTGAAGCCCTAGAGTCTGAACCCATGTCAAGACTTCTTATTGCTTCCGATGTGTTTAGGTTGGGTGGGCTGGTGTGTCTGCAACCGCTAGCGTGCTGGGATGCACGGAATTTCTGGTGATATGGATATGATAGGGGGGGAGGGGTGGCGGGACTGTTGTGGTTGGTGATGTGTGGATACAGCCTTGGAGGTGAAAGTTGCAATGTTCCAATACCGACTGCTTCTGACATCCACTGCAAGCCATGTGACCAACACTCCTTGCCCAAGTGCTACTGCCAGGGTAGCAGAACAGAGAAGATATGGAAAAACGCAAAAGGCAACTAGTTGCAATCTGCTTTTTCCTAAGGAATCAGAACGACAAACACCCCGAAAGCAAACTTCCACTGGCAGCCCCACACGGAAGCATAGGCAACAAACACAGAATGCAACTAGTTGCCATCTGTATTTCCCCAAGGAATCAGTGCGACCCAAAGCACCCAAGCGACCGCACGTTTCAATCACAGCAGACACATCCCCGACAGGGTTGAAGTAAATTGACATAGAAGCCCACGACGGGATTTAAGCAAATAGACAAACACTCCAGACGGGCTTAGTAAATTGACACACAAAGCCCAGACGGGGTCAGGTTTAAGAACATTGACCAACGTAGCCATGGACGGGGTGTAAGTATTCGAGCTTATTATAAGTCACATAATACAGCAAGCTTCAGGCCTTGTTTGAGGTATAGTGCTAATAAGCTCATTATATACACGGGAAGGTTGAGGGTTTGTTTAAGGTTTAGGGGTTAAAGGGTTTCTGGAGGGAATAGGATGCGATTTTTTCAGCCAGGAAGCTTCCTTCTGAACTGCCACAAACTTCGCGCGAAGCTCCCAGCTGTTCATGAGGTCGGGCACGAGACCGCCTTTGCCAAAGAGGGTTTCCCTCATGTCTTGCCAGGCGGTCTCGGCATGCAGCGGGCGTTGGGCAACGAGCCTGAGGGTGCAGGAGTTCTTACTATTCGTATTAGAAGTCTACATTCAGGAGTGAGTTAAACTTGAAAGAAAACATGATTGTTCAACAGCCTGGCCTAACAGCATGTGCCGTGTCCCTGTGACAGAGCGTAAGATTTGGAAGTGTTTGAGTCAAGAGTTGACCACACTTCACCGCCGCTGGGCAACCATCGCTGCAATAAAAGCGCGTTATCTCCCGCAAGTGCTGGTACACGTCTGGATCGGCATCTCCATGTGCCGGCGTGGCAATGAACAACATTGCCTGCTCGACGCTTCGTGCCATGCGCCACGAGTAATCCTCTGAATACTCATCCACCTTTTCAGAGGATGTACTGAACGCACGAAGCAGACCTGAGCCATACCGCTCGTGCGCCAAATTCGAATGATAGAGAATGACCCGGTGCGAAGTTTTGTCATCCAGGATCAAGGTCATGCTCTCCGCACGGATCAGCGTCTCCACCTTTCGGCGACGGATGTACTCCCTCATGCATTGCACCAACTTGGCGATGGCCCATCGAGTGACCCGCTGGGGCTCAGCACGCTTCTGCGAAACGAAGGCCTCTGTGAAGCTCACGCCCTCGATGGCGGCCATGGACACATTGCTCCTCGCTGCCAGGCGCCAAACACGTAATAAGTCTTCTACTTGTGGAACGGCTCCTTTGAAAGCATCACCTGGCTTGGCAGGAAATCAGACAAGGACATAGAACAGAAACGATACTACTGAACGAAAAGATAGAAATAACTCCTTTGAAGTGTCAAGGAACGCTCCGTGAACGTGGGTGCCGCCGCAGCCCTCAATGGGCGGCCCGGGTGCAGGAATGCCCAAACTGCAGTTTTGTGCACATCGCTATTTGCGTGGGCCCTGCCAGAATGTACATGACACGTGAAGCGCAGTCAACTCGGACTTATATACACATATTATCATGTTCACATATATAATATACGACATATGTTGATTATGACTTGTCGTCTTAAATCAGAGATACCAAACTGGGTCGTTTCCCTGCCCCCGACCTGATAGTGGAGGCCTGCATGGACTTCAAGCTGTCTATCTGGTATCGGCCCCACTTCGTGTCCAAGCGCTGTCGGCCGGCTCCTTTCTTGGACTCCTCGGGGAGGTCCTCTGCAGTCAGCCGTGCCTGAAGGCTGGCACAGAGATCGCAGCCTATGCCCCATCCGCCCGCTAGAGCCAAGCGAGCAGGCCGCTCGGACAGCCAAATGGTGCGCTTGTGTCCGGGAAGCGTCAGTGAGCCATAGTTCGTTTGCCAGCTTTGCCGATGCACAATCCAGCGGCAGCGTGCACAACTGTGCGCCGTTTCTGCAGGGTCAGGATGCTGAAGTGCATGTTCCTTGTTGCAGACAGTCACATCCCGTATGAGCCTTTCGGCCAGGCGTTGCTTCTTGCCAACCCTTTTTGCGCTGGTGGCGTCATCTGCCGCCGATTCTGGCACTGCATGGCATTGCCTCCGTCGTGGCACGGCCGGCTCTGGCGCTGCATGGCATGGCCTCCGTCGCGGTGCGCACTTTGGCACAGGGGCCGTAACTGAATCCCGGCCATCATACAAGCCCTCCATGGCATCCTTGAGCTTCGCAGCTGAGAACATGTGCAAAGCACTGTGTTGCGAACATTCGTCACACTGCACATCCTGGTCCTACCCACGCCCGTGCACCACCATCTTCGTCATAGTCTTTTGTTCCTGCAAGATACATCACTCCAAGCTCCATTGCAGGGTCTCCTGCGAAACGACATCAGGGAACTACTTCTTGAACAGTGGGCTTGCCCGGCATGGGTAACACATGACTATGCTGACACTAGTCTTCGTAGATATCACTCAGACGACGTAAAGGCTGAACCACTTTCTGCCTTACTGGCCCGGGCTGCAACCTCGACACCAACACGATGCGAGGCACTTCGCCCTGGCTCATCTTGGTCCGGGCAGGCTTGGATTTCGGCTTCTTGCGCAACTTTCTCGTTGCACACGCCACAGGCACCCTGCTAAAGACATCACTAAGGCGACGCTTCATACCGGCCTTGCCCTTGCCCGCGCGCTTCTTCTTCAAGGGATTCTTCCTCCGTGTCACTCGGCCACTGTGGTCCGGCACTTCCTCAATCTCCTCGACCACATGTGGCTGCGGCAGCAGGACTTGTTTTGATCGCAGTCTCTTCCGCGTCGGAGCTGCCGGCGAGGACCAGTGCGGATCTTGCGATTTCCAATCCACGAGGCACATTGCCATCAGGACGGCAAGAGACACGGCGGTCACGTGCATGGAGTTCCCAGCCATGCCATGAAGAGCGCTATCTGAAAGACCATTTGGCACCGTGAGCAGGTCGAGGGGGAAACCCATGAGTGCCAAACATTCATGGCTGCTGAGAAGCCGACACTGTTGATCCCCATAAACAAGGCAAGGTCGGGATCGTGTGGTCAAGCAAGGACAACACTTCTTTTGCAAAGACCCACGTCCCATGGATTGTGAGACGTCCATGATGACCGGGTAGTCCTGCTCGCCGATATTCTTGGAACGTAAGAGGATGTCCAGCATGCTCCTCTCGCGCGGGATGAGCGGGTCGTCCTCTGCTGGGTCCGGAGGTGCCAGCTTGAGTTTCTCACGCAACTTGGCATGGACGGCCATCCACTTTGGCACAACACCGGACTTCTCCTCTTTGCGCAACACTCCGCCTGGTCTGGAGTGCCCTGTGTCCTTTTTCTTGACCACACCGTGCAAGTAGTCCTCCAAGGAAGCTTCTGGCAAGGACCCTTGCACCTCACTGCAGACACGGCCCAGGAGATCACCGACAAGGTCCTCATCATCCAGCAGAGCACAATCTTTCCGGATAAGCAGAAAGAACGCCCGAGGTCTTCGAATGGGTTCTCGCAAGTTGTCCTTGGGACAAATCTTGGCGATGGTGATGCTGTAAAGATCGTTGATCCCTGCCTCAGCGAGCGCCTGTTGGAAGCCATCGACATTTGGAGCCCTGAGGATGCCGATGACGTTCTCGAGCACTGCAAAAGCAGGGCGGGCATAGCCCACCGTGTGCAGGACAGACTTCAAGACGTCTGTCCGCGCATCCATAAAGCCCTTGGCCGAGTTGGACTGTCGGGAAAAGGGTTGGCAGGGAAATCCAGCCACATAGCCGTCCAGGGAGCCGGGCTTCACATGGTCTTCCAAAGTCCGGGTGCAAACGTTGTGAAAGAGCTTCTGGCAGTGTCGTTGTTTTCGGATCCACATGCGGGCTTGCTCGCTTATGTCGCTTGCCCACAGCTGCTTGAAGTGCAGACCCAGGAGCTGCATCCCGACTAGGGGTGCCTCTAGTCCACTGCAGTCCGTAGCGAGCGCAAAAACCCGATCTTGGGGCCACCCACAAGCTTTGATGTCATGATCCTTGGCCCATGCGCTCTGAGCCCGCAAGACAGCACTGCGCAGTATGCCAAACCGCTGACACTGTTGGTCAGACATGCCGGTCGAGAACCGTACTCGAGCCGCACTCAGCAGAAGGTAATCTCAGAGCTGGCCGGACATAAAATTACCTCGGGATCTTTTGCGAGAACCTGGGGTAATCCTGGGAGCAGTCTACAGCGAGTTTACTTGACCTATTCAAGCAAATAGCGACAGGTAAGTCTTTCCTAGTGTGTACACAGAATTACCCCAGGTTCTCGCAAAAGATTGCGAGGTAATTGTAGATGCATAGGCAAAGTATGCACGCGTAGCTTGACCTCCTGCTGTGGAACTGTGTAGTCGCACTTCTGCAGTGCTCTACTTACGTTGTTTAACAAGGCATGTACAGCCCGTGCCTGCTCTTGTACCTACAGCAGACCCATGACGTTGTTTAACATCTGTAGCTAAGAGCTGAATCCCAACGTGTACTGGCACTTCTGCAGTGCTCTAGAACAAGCAGTCAAAAGTCATCTACATACTCGGTGCTGTTTGAGTTTGCAACAATCTCAAGAAAGACTCTTGAAAATCTAATTGATTGCTCTCTGAGTACACTAGCAGTCAAAAGCCATCTACATACTCGGTGCTGTTTGAGTTTGCAACAATTCTAACAAAGACTCTTGAACATCTAATTAATTGCTCTCTTAGTACTGGCATTTTGGTCAGGCAGGACTATCTGCTCGTTCCTGTCGACATGGAGACCCGGGCTACCTAACTGAATCCTGTAAGCGTAGTCTTTACTTTCGCATGCTTGTGACCTCTGACTGCTGTACCCCCATACATTCCAGAGAAACTGTCGCGAAATCTCCTGTTTCACTCCAACCTTCAACAGTCTACTTACTCGCCAGAAAGTGCAAGCTGTCAGCGACAACCCAAGTGCTTTCACACTTTCAATCGCAGTCGATTCAGGTCCTGGTGGCAGGAAGCAAAGGCACTGATGCAAAACGTGCCGGCCACCGTGGCTTTCGGTTGAAATGAGCAACCCGAGGCGCTGCTACGTAACGGCTCTGAGCTAAGCTAAACATTGATGCGGCTCTGAGCCAAGCTAAACATTGACGGCCTCGGAAAGCACATGACCGGATGCCGCTATGCGCTCCGGTTGACATGTTTGCTCTGCTGCTCTGCGTCCTCCAGGGCGGCCCTCAGACGATCCCGTTTTTTCTTGCTCTCCTCGATGTCAGTACGTGTCTGCTGGATCTGGAAGTCCACGGTTTTCACTTTCTTGGCCATGATCCTGTCCTGGGGGAAGACGGGCGTTGCTGCCAGCCAGTAATCCTGACTTGGATGAAGTTCTGAAGCCCACACCATGGACACATAACAACTTTGCATTTACAAGACTCTCGTATCCGCCTATTTCCTGCCACCCAACAGCAGTGGCAAACACCATTTCGTGTCAAGCCGCTGCCAAAGGGGAGACGGCGGTGTCCACGTGCACGAAATCCGCAGCATATGCCGACGAAAAGTGGAGCTCCTCGACGAGGAACCTCACTGGACACACGCAAGGACTTCTGAACCTTGAACTTGGAACCTTCATTTAATAATGATTACTACCAGACGCCCTCCAAGTCCAAGCAAGAAAAGACATTCCAAGACGTCCGAGCACTTCGTGGTAGCACCCTTCTTCAGTGTGAATGCCATATGGCCCAGACTTTGTGGCGACAGAAACAAGACCTTCTCGGCATCATTCATGTCCATGCGTTTAGTCAAGTTCTGTGAGAGGACCTTCACACACTGTTTGTGGAGCGCGGGCGGCAGCAAGCGATAGAACACCCAGACGCCTGCAACTAGGGAGCAACAGCATCGCTTCTTGAACCTGCTACGACATTCCGGACCACTAAAGCACTGGCGCGCCTGACCCAGACCCAGCGATCTCTGCTGTCAAGGCAACCGTCGTCGAAGACGCCCGGGTCGAGCCGGCACTGCCGGCAGAGTCTCCACCGCGCGGCTCGGCCTCAACCGGGGCCAGCTCAGGCACCCCAGCAACCTCCGTGGCTTCCTCGGTCACGGACATGTGGCAGTGGTAGTTGTAAAAGACGAACATGTTGTTGTCCACCTTCTGCTGACAGCGCAGGACGAAGCCAGAGTGGGTCGGGCGGAGTGCCTTGGTGGCCATGGCCTGCTGCTGATCCAGCACCCTGCACTCCTGAATTTGCCAGGCACGCTGGTTGAGCAGCTGGGACGCCATGTAGACATCGGCCAGCCCGCGCCTTTTCGTGGTCTTGGTCTCGGCCTCCATCTTGTCAGGGTCGCTGAGATGGCACCGGACCCTTGGAGAGTCGAGACGCTTGGCAAGCATCAAACAGGTAGTCTACTCCCGATCCAAGCTTCTTATGTCCCCTGGGAATTTGAAAACTAAGAACAGAACTGGGAATCCAAACCGTCTAGACACAGTTCTGCACTTCTGCAGTGCTCGCTCCCAGGACCTAGAGCTCTAGTCTACGTCTATAGACTCAGCCCAGAATCTACAGTAGGGCCTAGAAGCACTTCTGCAGTGCCGACGGCAAGCGACACACAATTAGTGCAGTACAAAGCTTTCTGAAGCCAGGCTTCTTTCGAGCACTCGGCTACCGCCTGCGTCATCGAGAAGTAGTACTCCGTATTGCTCGTATGCACCTCTGCAGTGAAGTAGGAAGGCGACGTCAGCATGTAGCCCACCAACGCCATGACAAAAGCACGAGCTAGAACACAGAAGAGTCTCCACTGAGAGCCCGACAGAGCGCTGCGTTGCCGAAAGACTATCGACACTAGACTCATTGTCTGTTATTTCCATTCGTGCTGCTTCTAATAATGCGATGGACACGAGGGCAGACCGAGCACCTGCTGGTGCAGCAATGCCGCAACCTACGGCCACCAACCCGGTGATTGCAAACTCGTCGGGCTCACCGAGTCAGTCCTGTTCAGGCGCCTCCAGTAGGATCGGGGCCCAACCTCGGTCAGGACTGCTTCTATGACCTCATAAGTTGTCCTGCGTCCGAACCAAGTCAGAGACGGCCGCCCCTAGCAAAGGCATGCAAAGGCAACACCGACCGTATGTTTTCTGGGACAAGCCTGGTCTTGTCTTGCAGCATCGCAGCGATGCTGTCCCCCTATTCCCACAGGACTGCCGATGTTGTAATTATCTACAAGTTTGTGTTATGTCTCAATATGTTCATAACTAAGCCCGGTCAACACAGGAGACAAAAACGTCAGTCCTACCTGTACAGGAGGTCTGCTGACCATTGCCAGAAGATCTGCTCTGCGCTGCCTGTTATTGCAGCCTGCACTTGTGACACTGCCTTTCAGAAAAAGGTCTGGCCTCCGGAGGAATCCAGGCCACAGCCTCAGTCGCCGAGGACACGAACGTCTCGGTTGTCCCCGCAGTCGTGGTAGAGGCTCACCCAGTAACACTGCGACCACTGCATGTCTTTGAACCTCACGCGCATCACCTTCAGCATGCGCTCACAGTAGACATCTATCTGGTCATCCGTGAGCCGGGCAGACAGAGTCATAGCGAAGCCCACCAGCCCGCACAGATTCGGGCAAGAAGTCTGCAGCAAAGTCCCGGAGTTCGACGTTATCCTCTGCATGATGGCATGGGCTACGGCCATGGCCGAGTGGTAATCTGCGTCGTTACCGAAGACCTGACGAAAGAGGTCTCGCCTGGCCTCCAGCGCCTCTGCCATGCTCTCTTGCTTCCCTTTTCCACCGTCCTGCTTCTTCCCCGTGCCCGCCTGACCTTTGGGCCCTTCATCAGTTTTGGGGAAGCAAAACTTGCGGGACGATTGCGTAGGCGTCGTCTTCATGCGCAGCCTGTACTTCACCAAGAGCCGGTTGTTGGACCCTCGGCGGTGCCCACGACATGTTTGGCAGACTCGATCGCGTCGGTATGTCGAGTCGCCACACTTCACGCACTTCCATGGCATGGCCCCTGACCCCAACCTTAAAACTTGAAAGTATGACTGAGTATGAGCAAAAAACAGTGAGCACATCCAAAGAGCCCTAGTATAACCATCATCGCCCATCGTGGAGCTCCAAAGCTGCAGAGGCATGCAACCAACTAAAATCGGAATGCTACAGCGTGCTGCATCAAGCAGTACTCAGCATGGCCACCGCTCTATTTGGTCTGTAATCGCTTGCATTCGACCAGGCGCCGAACTGGGCGCTGCTGGCTCGAGGCCCCGCCTGCAAGAGACGGCGTTGTGTAAACGTGGCACTTGGAGGATATAAATGCACGGAAGCTACAGGTCGCAACTCGTTGCGTTCTGTCTTTTTCTACAGCAAAACCAGCCACCACAGTATAGTTATGCCATTACCACAAGTTTCGAAGGAACATGCAGTTGTGGTGACGACAAACGAGCAGACACGCTTGCATCCTGGCAGGCCCATACTGCGATCCGCCCCACCTTGCACGACCAGGTGTCGTGCAGGCTGGATCTGTTGTCTGCTCGGCATGACGTATGAGGGTGCATGGCATACCTTCCAAGAAGTCAAGAGCGTACATTGGAACTGTAGTGCCTCATGCGTCTGCACGCAGCTAGAAGACACAGGATGTAGGAGGGCTGCACGCTGATTTGCAGAGGCGCATTAGGTAGTCTAAGTTCAGTCTAAGATTGCGAAGCATTCTAATGTCTGGGATCGCCGTCGGGCATAGGGCATAGAGCTCAAGTGGTTAGGATCTCAAAGGTTGCCATTATTGCAAAACACAGATGCGACTTTGAATGGTTACTTGGCAGTGTATTCATCCCACCAGAAACAGAACGAGCTGCGACCTGTAGCTGCTGTGCTGTGCATGATCCGCTCATACAGCTGAAAATTGCCCACGCAAAGTCCCGACACCGAAGGTTAACATGCCCACCAGTTCCGACCTGTCTGCGCATGCTGACTGTAGTTGAGACAACGAAGGGCCGAGGGCAGAAGCCGCGTGCATCAATATCTGGTACAAGTTTGAAGACATGTCGAGTCCCACCCGCTACCTGACAGCGACGGCAGCGACAGAGGCGGACCTGGCACAATGCTGGCAGGCTACAGATCGCAACAGGTTGCGGCTTGTAGCTTTCGCAATGACAACAAAATTCATGGCACTTTCCATGAGTTTCCCGGCTACACAATGCTAGATGAAGATCGGAAGCACTTCCACGCGCACTAATTTCATTCTTGAACAAGGACCTGCACCTGCAGCTCCTCTGCCTTGTCCATTGCTGAAGAAATCGATGCCTACTGCCCCGGCTGAATAGCAACCGCGAGCCTCCAGCGCCAGACGGGCGGGGTCTTTCCTGGGCTGTTGGAGATTTCGCAGCAACACCGCATGACATGACGAATCACGGCTCGCAGTGGATGGCGCAGCTCGGCCGAGCAGAATCCGTTTTTGTGTCACACGGCAGATGAGAGATGCCGCGGTTCGGCACACAGTCGGTGCGGCAGCCCTTGCCTTCTTGGTCCCCCCATTTATGGAGTTTGTATTAGGTTATAGACTATATATCGCAGATTCCAAACTTCAGTTCTATCTAAGTATGAAATGCACCGAAACCATTCTGTGACGATACCTTTCGATGGAGCAAGGTCCGGTATAATTTGCTTGGGCCCCTCAGAACCAAACACCGTGGTAGAGACCTATGAAGGAAGGGCTGCAAAATGCTGTGTGAAGCACTTTGCAGCCTAGCCCGGCTGCGCGTGGCGCTCATCGGCGCTTCCTCCACTTGCAAGGGTCCTGCGCAGCAAGGCTATGCGGCTAAGGTGGATATTGGGACCTGTAGCTGTGCACGACGGGCCTCATCCCGTCCTTTCTCCTTCTCCTTCCAGTCATCCATAAATTTTTTGGCCCTTGCCTCCTTCTCTTCCTTCGTTCTCCGGGCCGGCGGCTCCTTCTCTTCCTTGGTTCTTTTGGCCGGCGGCTCCTTCTCTTCCTTCGTTCTCCAGCCCGCCGGGTCGCGTCGGCCCTGCCAGCAAAATGTTTTAAGAATGGAACCTTGTGCATGGAATGCGTGCACTTCAGTGTGTGCACCCCGTGCCTTCTTTCCACCATCATCTGACCACTGGCCGCCACCATCGGAGGTCTGGCCCTGATTTCCATCATCGGAGCTAGGCAGCTAGACGTGCCAGTCACGCTTATGCTTGCTGCAATATTCACCACCAAGGACCGCACACGCAGAGAAGCACCAACCGATCCTTTGGGCTCCTCGCACAAGGCCAGCTCAGAATCAGAGACTGATTTTAAAACCGAGAAAGAGCAGGCATGCGCCGACCTTGGGCTTTGCCGGATCAGGTCCCCCCGAGCGCTCCTGTCGAAGTGGCAAAGGATCAAATCAATACCTTGACATTGAAGCCTGTCCGTCTGAGTTCACTGCCTTCCTCGCAGACTGGCCCTCCGTCTCCGCACCGTCACTCTCCTTCGAGATCTCCTGTCAAGATGGCAAAGGATCAAATCAATCCCTGGAAGCCTGTACATCTTTGTTCCGTGCCTCCTCCGCCTGCGGCCTGTTTTTTGGCATGGCCTCCTGCGGCCTTTTTTTTGGCATCGCCTGGCCGTGAGCAAAGGACTATGATCCTTCCAGTGCTCCACCTAGCTCTGCCCCGTCCTTCGGAGATGGCTTCTTTGACGCAGAAGACGAGGCAGCTTCGACAGTCTCAGTGTGCGGGCGAGAAGGGACGCTGGCGCAAGAAACCCGACATCCCTGACCCGTGAAACCCAGCCTCATCCGACCAGACCTTCCTCCGCCAAGTCGGCCATGAACTGGGTCCTGCAAGCATGGAGTAAGGGCATTGCGGGGGTCCTTGTTTGCAGTGACTGGCCCTGCCTTCCCTGCTTTGGCCAGCTCCTGGCAACAGGGGCCAAGTGTACTTGTGCACGCAGCGCAGTCTGATCAATCCGAGCCTTGTAGTACCACGCCATGTCTTCCCAGTCCTCCTCGCGGCGGTTCATCTGCGACAGGAGAACGTAGAAGCGGACCTTCCAGTCGCTGGCCGCCTGAACGATACACTGAATGACTCAAAAGTGGTGTGACCTGTGACTTGTGAACAGCGCTCCTCCATCTTGCCCTTCTCTTCCTGGAGCCGGGCGTTCTCTGCCTGCAACCACAGCTTTCAAGAAATCTGATAATCCGAAGCGTTGTGGCACCGCAGCCCGCGTCAGGCCTCGAGGAGAGCTATCTGGCGAGCCTTTCCAGAACCGTGCTGCTGAAACTGAACCAAAAGACGCAAGACCCTGAAGACAGTTAACGTGCCAGGCCCACAGTCTTCTCGCGGGAGGTCTCGCGGTTCTCCAACCGCGTGGCATGGCTGAGGCCGGCCCGCTCCTGTCGTCATATGAATTAGAATCGCAAGGTTTCAGATCAATCTCTGACGTGGCTCTCCTGTCCGCCGTAGCGCGGTGCATCACCCAGCATCTGCGGCCAAAATTGCGGAGCCCACATGGGCGGCCCCACGGGCCACCAGCCGTCCATGGCTGGCGAGAGGCGTCTACAGAAGATCTATCGCTCCCACTGCATGAAATTATCATTTACCCCATTGCCTTTAGCGGAGATAGAGGCTGGTATGCGTTAGAGCCAAAGCTTATTTGTTGGCATGTTGCAGTGAGAGCGTCTTAAGACCTTCATACGAATATGGTTTTGATTAAGGCAGGACCGAACAGCCCAGGGCCCAGAGCTGATGTTATAAGAATCCAACCCATGTCCCAGGTGTGGCTTTGAATATGCCTGATCATGCTGCTGCTGAACATGTTCAGACAGTGGCCCTGATTAGAGCTGGAGTTGCGAGGCGCAGGCTCAAGATCAAGCTGTCAAGCGGACAAAGCACTGCAGTTACAATCAAGCAGCAGACAAGCAAGAAAGCGCGCAGTAGAACTCCAACCTACCCCAGTTGCAGACGAGCATCATTGAACCGGTCGAGGTCCGCAAAGAAGTGCGAAGGTTCGAATCCTGCCGAAAGCCATCACGTGGCACGCTGAAGCATGTCCACCAACTTTCACGGATACCAACTCAGACTTTCTTGCGGTCTTGGACCTGGACTGAACTGAACGGAAAGCAGGACGTGAGGCCCAGGCCGCCGCAACGATGATGAGGTTCACCATGGCTATGACGAGGTCCGACCTGGGCAGCAAATGGATTCGGAACATGATTTCTAGAAGCGCGGGCTGTCTGTCTCAGTGTCAACGCGAAATGCATCGGTCAGAAATGAAGCCGCTGCTGAAGCCATGCTCATGACCAACTGATTCACTGACTCTGAGAGCCCCGCTGGATGTGTAGAGAGAGCACAATTGTCACAAAAGGTCCTGAGACGGAGATTTCATGACAGGCAACTGCAAAGACAGTCTCGAGCAACCCTGAAGAAAGCATAGAGAAACAACTGGGAACCCCCCAAAGATGCCTGAGCTGTTAAACTGTGTCGTAGCACTTCTGCAGTGCTCTACTTACGTTGTTTAACATCTGTAGCTAAGAGCCGAATCCCAACGTGTACTGGCACTTCTGCGTTGCTCTACTTACGTTGTTTAACATCTGTAGCTAAGAGCCGAATTCCAACAAGTAATCGCACTTCTGCAGTGCTCTAGAATTACCAGTTTAGGGTTAGGGTTCTTGAACCATAAATGAATCCTCTTAAGTAAAAGACCTTCACTTCAATGTTTGGGTTTAGTGTTACCTACCTACGACCTACCCCCGTCCCTACCTACCTGCCTACCTACCCCGCTGCAAAGACCAGTACTACTTCTACGACTAAGTTTAACTACTACGGACCACTGGCATCGGCTGGTCTATTTCTGCCTGTAGGACTCATCTTAGCCTGTGCTCCTGAAGGCATTCAAAAAAGTGCTTGCCTGCCCAAGCACCTGATTCAACCCCACAACATCAATGAAACCCTTAAGTTCTCTCCACAAAAAGGCGCCGATATCCGAACCCCAGAATGCACAGCACGCGACCACCGGGGATGGTGA